TGGCGCAAAGTGAAAATATGGTCAATGGTGGAAAATCTGGTTAGATGCTTCACTAAATAAGGATGTAAGGTCATCTGTAAGCAAAATATTGGAATTCTATATATTCAGTAGAATATCTCTAGGCCATTTTCCTCTAGACCGGCTCTGGGATTTCTTCCTCAAGAAGATTTCTTCCTCTGTCAGGCTCGAAGAGCTCGATATAATTTTGCTTTAGAAAAGTTCTATATAATCTTCCTCTAGGAGAGTTTTAAGTCGGCATCCTCTAGAAGAACTCTAAATCGTCTTCATATAGCAATACTTTATAACTCCCTGACTTTGAAGGGCTTTTTGGTCTAGAAGATTTTACAATAGTCTGCTTAGTACCGAATATCTTTAAGAAATCTCCTATGGACAAAGTATTCTCCAGTGGTATTCTCCAGTGGCATCCCTAAAGAACATCTAAATGTAAAATTTAGTGCAAAATATCATTATAGGACTTCAATGGGCAGATGCTTCACTAAACAAGGTTTTAAGATCGTCTGTAAGCAAAATATCGGAATTCTATATATTCAGTATCTCTAGGGCATTTTCCTTTAGATCGGCTCTGGGTTTTCTTCCTCTAGAAGAGCTGTAGAAGAACACATCCCCTCTGTCAGGAGAGCTAGGTATTCTTAATTTTGAAATCGTCGAGGCCTTGTCTAGAAGAGCTCGCGATATTTTTGCTTCTAGAAATTATCTTCTGCCTAGAAGAGCTTGTGATATTTTTGCTTTAGGTCGGCATCCTCTAGAAGAACTCTAGATCGTCTTCCTATAGCAATACTTTAAAACTCCCTCACATTGAAGGTCTTCTTGGTTTGGAATGGTCTTCGGCATTCTTCTAATTGAATACCTCCAAGAATTCGTTCTTTCTCTAGAAGATCTCTAGACCGTTTTCCCAGAGGTGGGTTTTTATAATAGCCCCTAGATATTCTCTTATAGATGACCTGAGGATGTGCCTTGATAGGTGACTTATTATATATATTTTATATATACAACGAGAGGATTCTAGACCTAGGGACTTTCCTTTTCATAAAAATATCCTCATATAGGTAGATAAACGAAAAGATTATCTTCCTTACCAGATTTACAAATCTTCTTTTAATACTCACTGTATATCTCACACACACCCATACGAGCTACCAATTTCTTCTTCTTACAAATTGCATATGTAGTTGTATGATTTCGTTTCTTGTTTATCTTTCTTTTTCGTTCAGTATTTCAGCAACAATTACTAGTCCTTAGTATTCTGCTTCCACTTTTCTTCCCCACGTTTGTTTTGTTTAAGATTGCGCCAATGTTAATAATATTTTCTGTTTAACAGAGAGGGTAATTTGTTTTTTGTTTTGATTTTGCATTTTTTTAATATAAATAAAACCAAAAAACAATAACAAAAAAAAAATCATAACGAAAAGAAAAACAAATATGCATAAGGTGGTAGAGAATACAAATAAAACGAACAAAAAAGAAAAACTGGCATGACCCTAGCAGAGATAAATGTAATTAGGCCCCCTTTTTTATGAAACTACTTACTAAGTGAAGGAGGAGGGTGAGAAGGAGAGCGAATGCAGAATTTGTATACAAACTGCTTCGCATATTCAAACATTGCAGTAACAAAATATATTTTGAAATTTATTATCGAAAAATTAACAAATACAGTTGTTGCGTTTTTTTCACCATCATCATCATATTTTTCTTTGTTTTCTTTTTCTTCTTCATCTCCTTACACATACACCAATGTTTTTGTTTGTTTAGCATTTTCTCTGTTCAATTTGGCTTTAATAAAAATAATGGCTTCGCCTCATTGCCAACGAAATGATTTTCATCATAACAAGATGTGATTACACTGGGCTACAGGGAAACGTGGGAATATATTTTGGCAAGGAAAAAACAAATTTAAAACAAAAAATGATCGACAGCTTCCCCATAGAGGATCGAAGTGCATAGGTTTTATTTTTTTGGAAGAGCTCTAGGAATTCTTCCGCAAACTCCGCTCTAGTTATTCTTCCCATAGTAGAGCTCCAGAGATCTATCTTCTAGATTCGTTTCAATACATCTTACTGAAGAAGAATTCCAGATCTTCTATCAGTCTTCAGGTCTTATTCCTCTAGAATAGTTTAAGGTCTTCTTCTTCCCACAAAAAATTGCTACATCTTCTTCTAAAAGAGCTCTAAATCTTCTTCTCTAGAAGAGGTCTTATTTCTCTAGACGTACTGCAGGCCCTTTTTCTTTAGAACAGCTCTAGGCCTTCTTACTCTATGCATGCATAGGGTTCTTCTTTTAGAACAGCTCTAGATATTCTTCTGCAAAGTCCGCTCTACCTCTTGGTTTAGAAACGTTCTACTTCTTTTTCTTCCCATAGAAGTGATCTAGAGATCCATCTCGTAGAATAGTTTTAAGGTTCCTTCCTCAAGAAGAACTTTAGGATTTCTTCCCTTCCTGAAAAACCTGAGACCTTCTCGTAGAATAGTTTTAAGGCTCCTTCCTCAAGAAGAACTTTAGGATTTCTTCCCTTCTTGGAAAAACCTGAGATCTTCATTCAGTAGAAGAGCTCTATGTCGTCTTCCAATTGAAATGCTCTGGTTGTCTCGCCATCGGGGTACTCTAGGTCTTGTTCCTCTAGGAGAGATTAAGATCTTATTCCTCAAAAAGATTGTTACATTTTCTTCCGCTAAAAGAGCTCCAGATCGTCTTCCCTGGAGGACGTCTTCTTTTTCTAGAAAAGCTGTAGGCCTTCTTCCTTTAAAAGAGCTCTAGGTGTTCTCCCTGTTGAAGATCTTTAGGTCTTCAATATTTAGCAGAGCTCTATGTCTTCATTCTCCAAAATATATGTGGGTCTTCTTCCTCTAGAAAAGCTGTAGGTCTTCTTCCTCCAAAAGAGCTCTAGGCGTTCTTCCTCTAGAAGAGCTGTAAATCGTATTTCTATAGAAAAACTCTGGTCCCTTTTTATAGGGGTGCTCTTGGTCTTGTTCATATACAAGAGATTTAGGCTTTCTTTCTCACCTCTAGAAGAGGTCTGGGTCTTCTTCCTCTTTAAGAGGTCTAGGTTTTCTTTCTCTAGAGCAGCTCTGGATCTTTTTCTTTTAAAAAGGCTGCAGGTCTTCTTCCTCTTGAAGAGCTCTATGTCATTATCCTCTAGTAGAGCTGTAAGGCTTCTTCCTTTAGAATAGCTCAATGTCTTCTCTCTGATGATGGCCTCTAGGTCTTTTTCTCTGGAAGTGCTCTAGACATTATTTTTCTAGAATAGATCTATGTCTTCATCCTCTAGAAGAGATCTAGATCTTTTTCTTCTTAAAGAGCTGAAGGTCTTCTTCCTCTAGAAAAACTCTATTTTTCCACCTAGAAAATATCTGGGTTTTCTCCTTATAAAATAATCTTGGTATTCTTCCTAGGTACTCTACTACAGAGCTCTAGGGCCTCATACTCGAATGCAAGTGGGTCTTGGTTAAAGGAAGAGTCCCGTTTTTAAGACAATGATTCAGAGGTCCAAGGTCATTTTTTCATTCAAATCTGAGGGTATTCTCAAAGTCTTCTGTATTAAAAAGCCAGAGATTTCTTTTATCGAAGACCAGGACATTATCTTTAAAAGAAAATTTGAATGTCTTCATTTAAAGAGGACCAGATGACCTTTTTATTAAATTTACTTCTTAAATATAAGACTGGATGACCTCCAAATATATACACGATCAGAAGCTCTTCTTATCGAAGCTCTTTTTATTGATAACCTGAAGGTGCTTTTATAAAAGATGTTCTTATCGAAAACCTGGAGCTCTTCTTATCTAAGACCTCGCGGTTTTCTTATCGATTACCTCGAACTCTTCTTTTAGAAGACCTGGATCTCTTCATACCGAAGATCTAGAACTCTTCTTATTTATGACATTTCGTTCTTCTTATGGAAGACTTGGAGCTCTCCTTATCGAAGACCTGAGTTTTTTTTATAGATTATTTTTATGTAAAGGGTTCGATCCTCTATAGAATTAGACCAGACGATTTTCTTTAACAGAAGATCAGAGGGTCTACCGTTAAATAGGCCAGAGGGTCCTCTTTATTTGAATATCAGAGTATCCTCTATAATAGACGGGGAGATAGTCTTCTTCTATATCCTGAGGTCTACTGTTATGTATACCTGAGGATATTCTTCTTAGAAGAATAAAGGGTCCCCTTTATCGACTCGAGGATCTTATATAATAGAAGAAGGGAGAGCCTCTTTCTATAGAATATCAGAGAATCTTTTTTATAATAGAAGATTTGGTCTTCTCTTATAGAAGATCAGGTGGTCTTCTCTACGGGAAGTGCAAAATGTTTTAGTTCATAGAAGGCCAGAGGATTTTCTTTTAGATATGCCAGGGGAACTTCTTTCTGAGCGGATCACAACATATTCGTGAAGAGGCATTTTTATAGAAAACTTGAATGCCTTCTTGTGTAGAAATGTAATAAGCTGCAGAGATAGTCTTCCTTTATGGTAGATCTGTAGCAGATCATCGGCTTAATTGTAACATACCAGAAGCTAAAATGTTCTTAATTTTGTTAAAGACTCGAGGTTTTTTCTTTACCGAAAACCGAAGGGTCTTTATTCACAAAATACCAAAGGATCGTCTTTTGAACCGTTAGGTCCAACAGAAGATTCTATGAGAGGGATTTTGTCGTCTTTTACAGAAAACCCAATGATCTTGTTTAGATTGGTATGTAAGAAAAGGTCAATAGGTATTATTATTGTATGGTATTGAAAAAAATCTTCTTTTAGATGACAAGGGTACTTCCTCTTTTAAAGAATAGGGTTTCCTTAAATCGAAGACAAACTGATTTCCTTCTATAGAAGATCAGCAGTATTCCTTCTAAATTTTGTAAACTTGTGTTCATTCTCTTTAATTTTTTTTTTTGCTATGCAATATCTATTCCCCCCTTTTCTTTTTGTTTATTCCGTTTTGTGTGTTATTTTCCTTTATTTTAATGTATTCATTTTCTTTTTGCTTTGCTATTTTCAGATCACTATGGAAAAACGACGTAATACATTGGATCGTTTTCAACGTTTAGGTTTTGGCCGCAAATCATCGCCAAGCACAACAAACGTGTCCAACAAAAATTCTACAGCAATAGCAACAACATCGGCAGCAGCTGATTCGTGTGGCACTTCGAAACAACGCAAATCATCCGAAAAAACTGAACGATTGCGTGAACTTACCGAATTATTGAGAGTGGGTGGTGATAAGGGTGGTGGGGGCAGTGGCTGTCGCAGTTCATCACCAACCCCTCCCCCCATGCCACCGCCAAGAAGACAACGTTCATCCACACCATCCACACCGTCGGCCTCAACAAGTTTCGATAAGGCTGATGCCAGTGAAAAATCATCACCTTCAACGTCACTTTTGTTGGCGGAAAACTCAGCCAACAATAACAACAACAACGGCGGCAGCAGCAATCATTGCAGTGACAACCACACCAACAACAACAACGAACCAATTCTGTCATTCATGTCGACGCATTCCGATGATATATTGCTAATGGATCAGGATGAGCCAAGTAAAACCTCACGACCACTGCGCCATCTACAGAAACAAATCTCCATGGAATCGGGGGTGGTGCTGGAGGAGAAGGGCATCGAGCAATTAAATGTAAACAATGCCACCAAATACTCATCACTCTCGGCCTCGACCACACCGCTGGCCTCTCCCACCAACCTGAAGAGCAACGCCTCGCTCTCCAATTTGGAAGTGTTGCTAATGAAACGTGAATCGAAATCTCCGCCACCATCCGCCGCCCTACCCGAGTGTCTGTCAGAAGATGAAACTGCCACGGCCACATCAAATAGTAGTCGAAGTGCAGCGAAGGCAGGCAAAAGTAAAGTGGCGCGCACGGAACTCACACCCAATAGTAGCAGTCCTAAGGGAATGCCATTTCGTTCGGCATCGTTTTCGCAAATCGATTATTCGGCGGGTAAATATAAGAAATCGGCTTTGAGTGCCCTGCGCGATCGTTTGAGACGTGATAAAACGGTAGACGGTTCGAGTTCCTCTACATCTTCGTCATTGTTTAACAGTGTTGTGGATAGTTTAACTTGGCCAAGGAAGCGGCAGGAAGATAAATCCCACGACAAAGTGGAGGAGAAAGAGAGTCCACCACAAACGGCTGAGGTGGTGGCCAAAAAGGAACCCGATTGGATTTATATACCCTTGAAAGAGAAACCCGAGTTCAGTATTAATTTGTGTTATGGTCAGGATAAAAGTTTAGAAGACGTTATGGAATCGCCTGAGTTGATACCCGAAGAGGAGGTATTTATGGCCGATACCATACATGAGCTGCCCGAGGATGGTGGTGATAAGCTAGAGGCAGCCAGTGTGGTGACCATACAGGCCAGTCATGCCAAAATGGAATCGTTGACAGATACCATACAATCGGATAATGATTATGTTATTGATGAGTCCCAGGTCCCCATTACAGTGGAGTCAACAAATCTGGTGGAAGCCAAATCAGATTGCCAGGATGACAAAGAAAGCTCTTCTGAGCCACAATCACCCACATCAGAGGTAAAAAATTCGGAAAGTGATTCACTTTCCCCCAACTTGGCCACCCTTATGGAAGAACAAATCCCCCTGGAATCGCCACCTGATAATTTCTTGCAAACGGCCACAACCTGCCTAATCCCCGTCCCAGTATATGAATGTGCTGCCCAAGAATGGGGTATGGAAAATCCTCCACAAGAATGGGAAGAGGTTGCCCCTGAAGAATTCATAATACTACCCGAGACCATTGAACCTTTGGTAACTCTCGATCAGTGTAATATTGAAAAACCTGAAACCAAAACAGACAGCGAATCTGTACCCACAATTTCGGTACGGCGATCCTCCGATGAAATGGATGACAATGAATTGCTGAGGAAAAAAGAAGAATCTCCAGATAAATCTTCGAAATCCGATGAAAGTGAATCTCAAGATTCCAAACCCGATATGGATGCAACAAATGAAAATCGTTCTTCTTTGGATAATATACCCACACGACATAGTTCCGATGATCGCCGTAAGGCTGATATGTCCACTCGACGTAAGGGCATCTACATTGAAAATTGGCAAGAACCCTCAGATGCCCCAGATGGTACACCCCACAAATCTCTGGCTCTGGATATATCCATTGCAAATTTAAATGCCATAAAACCCGATTCCTCCGAAGATGATATGATGTACATCAACAGTCCCATAACGGATGAAAATAAGACACCAGCCTCACTGTATTCCTTTGATTTGAACACCCCCGAATCGGAATATCGCCATTCACCGGTATGGTCTAAAAATCCCATGATGTCTAGTTTTAGTTGTCAATCGTCGGAAGAAAAAGACGACCCACCATTGGCATCACCTCCTGTTTCGTTAAGTACTTCACACATCAGTTTGCCTCGACAACACAAAAGTTTTCCATTTTTACGAACCGATTCTGTGTCGGATAATGAAAGTGATCGTACTCCACCACCGCGTGATCGTAACAGTCCCGTTTCAAGTGATCATGATTTTAAGCGATTTTCGAAAAGACCTCTGCGAGGTCCTTATGGACAAATGCTGGAAGCGGAAATGAAGAAACCGCAGAAGAAGCATTTCGAAGAAATTCTGGAGGAGCTAAGAGAGGATAATGGGTGAGTTGAAGAAATTTTAATTTTTTTGCTATTAAGGGGATGCAGAGAAGGAGAGAGAGAGGAAATAGAAAAAAACTATGCCCCGTACTTCAATTTTAATCCATTCCTCTTGATATTTTCATTCCGTTTGCAAAACTTCGAAATATGCAGTGGGTGTCCCATAATGGATATATATTCAAAATCAAAATAAAGTTCCATATCGATTTACCCATGCCCGTGTGTACATCAGTTCCTTCTACGCCTACGATGTGTGGTATCAGTCTATGTTTTTTATAGTTTCCATAGAATTCCAGTTCTCCACTATCCAGCATTTTGAAGGGTTTAGGCGCATTTTCCAACCGAATTGTACCTGTAATTTGGAATTTCGGGTTCATAGAGGCTGATAAAAATCTCAGAAAAAATGTCTACCTCCGTTTTCAGTATTTTCAAAGTTTTAACCCAATTTTCCGACAAAAGTGTCTCTAATATGGCAGAGAAACAGAAAACATTTTTAATATTTATCCATTATTTGGAATAGCCACCATATAGTGGTCCCGATTTTTCACCTATAGCACCTGTAATTTGGTATACTGGGTTTTCGGAGGTTGATAAGCATAACCATGTATCGGACCATGTTATGGATATTTAATCTATTAAAAAATCCAAGTCATTAAAAAAAAAATATTAAAAAAATACGCGCCTATATTTCTGAAAAAAATAATTAAAAAAAAATATTAAAAAACATTAAAAATATTTTTTAAAAATCCACTCTTTCAACGGCTAAATATTCTTCGAAAAATGTTTTATAAAAATTCATTCCTTCAGATTCTTTAAAAAAAATATAGAATTTTTTGGAATAAAATGTTTTGTTCCTGAAAATCCGCGCCTTGTTTTAGATTTTTTTAAATATTATTATTACCAATATTCAGTAAAGCCCTTCTAATTACTTGTCCAGATTTCCTTCAACCGTGGGTTGTGTTGTAATGTTCGGCTTTCAATTGTGGCCTATAGATCGACTCGAAAAAAACACAAAATATAAGTTTTCGGTCCACTTCATCCCAATATTATTATTTGATCATCACCGAAAATTATAGGCGTTGTCCTTGAACATACCTGGGTCCTCATAGAAAATATCAAAGCGATCGGCGCGATATTATCGTCCTCTAGTGTGGTAATGGGTTACTAAATAATATCTGAATACGTAAGCACCTGTAAATATTTAAGTGTACATCCCAAATCCGAATACATACGACGATATAATTGGTATCAATTTAAAGGTCAACCACTCCTCTTGGATATACTATCAATTTCTCGGGTCTATATCCTTCAGGACTAAATATATACGCTATTGAATACAAATTTTGTAATTTTTCACACAAAAGTCAGGGTCCATTTAACCCGCTAAATATTGACCGATCTTTATCAAAATAGGCATGCTTATTATTTGGCCCAATCCCATTCTCCATGTAAAAATTCGCGATGTTTGGGCCATAATTGCAACCTCTGGAGCGACCAGAAAAACAGACAAAAATTAAGTATTTTCGGAGCTATATCTAAATCTGACCCTGGAAACTTAACATACTTCATTCTGGACCTAATTCAGTGCCCCATTCCAAATTTCGTGTGAATCGAAAGATAAATAGGGACATTTACCTTAAATCGGACGAAAATATATATGGGAGCTATATCCAAATCTGAACCGATTTTCTCGAAACTTAGCACACTTCATTCTGGACCTAATTCAGTGCCACATTCCAAATTTCGTACAAATCGAAAGATATATAGGGACTTTGGTGCCCCATTTATGTTATATCGGACGAAAATATATATGGGAGCTATATCTAAATCTGAACCGATTTTCTGAATTTAACACACTTCATTCTGGACCTAATTCAGTACCCTATGCCAAATTTCGTGCAAATCGAAGGATATATAGGGATCTTGGGGCACCATTTACATTAAATCGGACGAAAATATATATGGTATCTGTATAAACCTGGACCGATTTCCACGAAACTTAACACACATCATTCTGGACCTAATTCAGTACCCTATGCCAAATTTTGTGCAATTCGAAAGATATATACGGACTTTGGTGCATCATTTACATAAAATCGTACAAAACAATATATGAGAGCTATATCTAAATCTGAACCGATTTTCTCGAAACTTACCACACGTCATTCTGGATCTAATTCAGTACTCTATGCCAAATTTCGTGCGAATCGAAAGATATATATTGACTTTGGGGCACCATTTACGTTAAATCGGACGAAAATATATATGGGAGCTATATCTAAATCTGAACCGATTATCTGGAAACTTAACACACTTCATTCTGGACCTAATTCAGTACCCCATTCCAAATGTCGTGTGAATCGAAAGATATATAGGGACTTTGGTGCACCATTTACTTTAAATCGGACGAAACTATATATGGGAGCTATATCTAAATATGAAACGATTTTCTCGAAATTTGGCACACATCATTCTGCATCTAATTCAGTACTCTATGCAAAATATCGTGCAAATCGAATGATATATAGGGAATTTGGCGCACCATTTAACTTAAATCGGACGAAACTATATATGGGAGCTATATCTAAATCTGAACCGATTTTGTCGAAACTTGGCACACATCATTCTGCACCTGATTCAGTACCCTATGACAAATTTTGTGGAATTCGGAAGATATATAGGGACTTTGGTGCCCCATATACCTTAAATTGGACGAAAATATATATATGGGAGCTATATCTACATCTGAACCGATTTTCTCGAAACTTAGCAAACGTCATTCTGGATCTAATACAGTACTCTATGCCAAATTTCATGTGAATCGAAAGATATATAGGGACTTTGGCGCCACATTTCCCTTAAATCGGACGAAAATATATATGGGAGCTATATCAGAATCTGAACCGATTTTCAGGAAACTTAGCACACGTTATTCTAGGCTTATTTCAGTAAGCTATTCCAAATTTCGTGCAAATCGAAAGTTATATAGGGACTTTGGTGCCACATTTACCTTAAATCGGACGAAAATATATATGAGAGCTATATCTAAATCTGAACCGATTTTCTCGAAACTTAGCACACGTCATTCTGGATCTAATACAGTACTCTATGCCAAATTTCGTGCAAATCGATAGATATATAGGGACTTTGGCGCCCCATTTCCCTTAAATCGGACGAAAATATATATGGGAGCTATATCAGAATCTGAACCGATTTTCAGGAAACTTAGCACACGTTATTCTAGGCTTATTTCAGTAAGCTATTCCAAATTTCGTGCAAATCGAAAGTTATATAGGGACTTTGGTGCCACATTTACCTTAAATCGGACGAAAATATGTATGGGAGCTATATCTAAATCTGAACCGATTATCTCGAAACCAAACACACTTCATTCTGGACTTAATTCCGTACCGCATTCCAAATTTCGTGTAAATGGAAAGATATATATGGACTTTGGCGCCAATTTACCTTAAATCGGACGAAAATATATATGGGAGCTATATCTAAATCTGAACCGATTTTCTCGAAACTTAACACACGTCATTCTGGATCTAATTCAGTACTCTATGCCAAATTTCGTGTGAATCGAAAGATATAAAGGGACTTTGGTGCCCCATTTACCTTAAATCGGACAAAAATATATATGGTTGCTATATCTAAATCTGAACCGATTTTCTTCAATTTCAATAGTGTTCGTCCTTGGGCCAAATAGGTGGCTTCTGCCAAATTTTTTTTTTTTATAGAAAATCATTCATATATTTAGATTTTCCTATAAACCGGAAATGCGCCATTATTATGATACGTGGGTAGTTTTGTTTTCTAGTTTATTTGTCTTTTGTGAAGGCGGCACTTGTGGTCGTGCTAATGTGTTCCATAAAAGTGACACAATTTTCCAGGAATTTTTGAGCACACATCTACAGTATGTGTGTCCCCACATGCAAACACACTCTCTACTGAGCATTACTTTGGCATTAACATCAAACGACGTACATACATAGATATCATTGTTGTTTTTTTAATCAGTTTTTCTATTTTCCACATCTCTCATCTATTAATTTTTTCTCTCACATATATATTTTTTCGTTTTTAAAATAACAACATAAAGTTTATTAACGAAATAATATTGACATGTCTACTCTTGGTTTTTTTTTTGTTTTCATTTCGCTTTTTGTTTTTTTTTCTAATTTTGTTTGTTCACATTTTTTGCTTTTGCAGTTCCTTACAGCCAAGGCGCCAGCGTTCTACAAACGATGACGCAGGTGGTCGTAGCAGTCACAATGTACTGCCCCACTATTCCAATTCGATGCGTGTGCGTAAAACAGGCAATGGTGGCGGCAACAACAGCAATGGTGGCACCAGTCTGCCAGTGCCACAGCATACGCGTGCCGCCTCAACACCATCACAAATCGAAAACGTCAGTGGCAGCCGGGCCAGTGCCTTTGGCAGTAAATCGGACGCCATTGACAATGATCTGCGTCTAATTAAACCGCTCGAAAAGAAATATCAATCGACACTGGATACGACCAGCATAGGTCGCGATGATATGCTATTGACAACAACGCCGCTGGTCAAAGGTGGCGAAGCTAAATTATCGTCGATGACGGCGACATCACCGACCTCCAAATCGAAAGCATCATTACTGCAACGTGAACAAAAGCGAGCAGCCTCGGAGAGTCCGACAAAAACTAGCCACAGCAAACGTAGCCAGTCGATGAGCAGTGGCGAGAAACCATCGGCCCATTTGCAACATGTCCACCAACAGAAACGTAGTCTGGATGTGACAAGTACGACAGCGGGGAAACAGCATAAGGCGGGAGGTAGTAGTGGTGGTGGCAGTGGTGCAACATCGACGACCTCCACACCACCAGCAGCTGCTGCTGCTGCCAGTGGCAATGCAACAAATATTTTGCCCACGCAAGAGTTATTGGCTCAGCTGTTAAAGGGTTCCAGTGAAAAGTTGTTGTCTGAACAGCGACAGCAAATGTTCGCGGTAAGTTTTAGTTGTAGAATGGCCAAATATATATTTTTGGGGAATTTATTTAATCATAAGGGGAGATAATTATTTTTATTCGAGTTTAGGTGACGGACAGATTTCTTGGAAGTTTTGGAAATTCCTTATTGCGAAATTTGTCTGCCATAAATCAATATTGACCGTTTAGTTAATTGAATTTGAAATTAAATATAATAAATTGAAAAAGCTATAAACCTGGCTAAAGGTGATGTGTGGAAAAGCGATTATATCATTATCGATTATAGAAAGCGATATTTTGTCTAAAATAAATTTGAGATTATTTTTGAAGAAATTAGATTGTAATTTATTGTGGACCTCTAGGTAACTCCTTATAATTTAGACCTATTCGAACCTATACATACATTATCATAAGCTATTCATAATAACCTATATGAACTTCTAGTGTCTTTCTTATAATATTGTTAAACCTCAACAAAAAGCTCCCCACAATCTAGATGGACCTATAGGAACTAATCAGACCTCTAATCAGAAAACTCCACATGAATTATATGGACCTTTAATGCACTTTTCATAACATAGAGGTTCGCCTACAGGCTTTTTCATACCTATTCGGACCTATAGGTTACACCTCATAACCTCTCGAAAACTTCTCATGGATTATGCGGACTTTGGGGAACCAATATGGGCTTGCTCACACCTATTCTGACCTATAGGTTACACCTCATAACCTCTCGAAAACTTCTCATGGGGTATGAGGACTTTGGGGAACCACTATGGGCTTGCTCACACCTATTCTGACCCATAGGTTACACCTCGATAAGATCTCACAGTCTATGCGGACCTCTAGGGAATTTATAACAACGTATTAGAACCTCTACATAAACTATATGGATTTCGTAAAACTTCCGAATAAATTTGTCTAACCTATAGAGACCTAATCAAAATATTTTCGAATCGGTTGATTTCTAAACCTATAATCCAACCTTTGCTGACCCTTAGAGACTTTGCCATAAACTGTTTATACCTAAATAAAACTTCTCACATCCTATTTCAAGCTCCAGAGAACTCCTCATATCTTAGACAGACCTCCAGGGGCTTTCTCATAGCTATTCGGACCTCTCGATAACTTTGCAAAGGCCTTGCGGACCTCTAGATCATTTCTTATAGCCTATTAGAAATTCTAGATAACCTATTCGAACATCTACATACCTCTTAATAACTGCTCATAAGACAGATGGATCATAATATCTCCAAATAATTTATTCTGACCTATAGAGACCTACACAAAACCTTTTCGAAAAGGTTAGTAGTTCCGCATAGCCTTTGCAGACTTCTAGAGACTTTCTCATAAAATTTTCGAACCTAAACAAAACTTCTCAAATGCTATTCCGACCTCCAGAGAACTCCATAGGTCTTTTTGGACCTATATGGATTACTCCTCATAACTTCTCAAGGGCAATGCGGCCATCTAGATGCTTTCTAATAACCTATTCGAACCTCTAGATAAATCCTCGGAACCTATTCGGACCTCTACATATCTCTAAATAACTTTTTATAACTAAAATGGCTCTCTTAAAACGCTTTTTCTGACCTAGAGATTCCGAAATCCTACGGATTATAAACTCATAACTTATAACTTCTCCTTAACTTCTAATAGCCTATGCGGACCTCATAAGAGAATTTCTATGCGGACCAATTTCTAGGAACACCTGTAGATAACTCCACTTTATATAACCTAAATAAGTCTTATAATCTAAACATCTTTATAATTTACCTCTATATAGCCTATGCCGTCCTTTAAATAACATCATAACCTAAATAATTCTTACAACCTAAATGGCGTCTCTTAAAAATTCTTAATAATTATAGCCTTTTCGGACCTCTACATACCTCTTTATAGCCTATGCTGACCTCTAAATAACATCATAACCTAAAATTCTTAATAATTTATTCTTACCTATAGAGGTGTACCCAAAAACTTTTCGAAGCGACTGATTAATCCTCATAACCTATGCGGACTCTCTTATATCATATTTGAGATAATTCGTCAGTATCTTAAACGAACCTCTAGGGTTCGTCACATCTATTCGGACCTAAAGATTACTCGTCATAACCTCTCGAAACTAATCACAACCGTTAATGACCTATTCAAACATATAGATAGCGCCACATATATCTTATTCGGACCTCTAAATAATTCTCAGAACCTAGAATGGGTCTCTTTAAGCTTCCAAATAATTTAATCTGGCCTATAGGTGCTTACCCAAAACCTTTTTGAAGCGGTTGATAAACTCCCATATGCCAAACGGACCTCTAGAGACTTCCTCATATTTCCTATAGAAACTTCCACATAACCTAATCTGACCTCTAAAGAACAATTCATAAATTAGATGGGCCTCTATAGCACTCCTGATAAAATAGATGGCCCTCTAGTGGCTTCATAACCTCTCGGACCAATAAATAATTTTACATAGACCTCTGGATAAGCGGATTTGTATAGACGTACCATCACATCAACCGTGGTATTTATGTTAAATTAATTTAAAATAATATTTCCATAGGATACACCTGGGAAATTTAAATCCTGGAGTTTGGATTTTAGAAAACTTTTTTAATATTCAGATGTTATTTAAACTTCTCTTTTATTTGCATTTAAATCATTTCACATAATACCCAGCTTTATGCGAAAACTTTCATAAACTTAATTCTCATATCATACGTAGACAGGATCTCTTAAAACTTCTTAATATTTTTTTCTGACCTATAGGGTCCTACCCAAGCCATTTCGAAGCCGTTGACAAACTCGCATATTCCAAACAAACCTCTAGAAACTTCCACATAACCTAGTCTGACCTCTCAAGAACTCCTCCCAAATTAGATGGGCCCCTATAGAAATGCTGTTAAAATAGACGGTCACTAGAGGTTCCTCATGCATATTCGGACCAATAAATTACTCCTCATACCTTCTCATAGCCTATACGAACCTCTGGATATTTCTCCTGGATATTGATATTTCTCCGCGGTATTTATGTTAAATTAATTTAAAATAATATTTCCATGTGGAACGGAATTTGATATGGGAAATTTAAATCCTGGAATTTGGATTTCAGAAAACTTTTTAACATTCAGATCTTATTGAAAACTTCTCTTTTATTTGCATTTACATCATTTTACATAATACCCTATTGTCTACTTCTCTCGTTTACCCCATTCTCCCCTATTTTGTACCATGTTCTAGTACTTCGAAAAAAATAAGCAATAACCAGCAACAGGTCCCGCTACAAACAGAATATACAGATTTATTGGCCCATCTGTTCTATTTTCTCTTGTAATATTTCTTGTTGTTGTTATATTTTGTTTGTTTCCCATTTTCATTGCTTCATTATTTCGCAACTCTTTTTTATGTGGTTTGACTCGTGCCACTGCTTTTGCTTTCGGCTCTCTTTGTAATTCACAATTTGTGGCAATTTTTCAACCCCAGCATGAATCGCAGGCAATTACACACGTGAGTGTTGTTGTTGTGTGTTTGTGGAGCCAATTTTTCGGTTCATACTTTGTTGTAATTGCTGGTCGATTACATTTATTTCGTTGTGGTTTTTGTTGTTCTTTCTCTATCATTTATGTTTCATACTTGAACAACTAACCAGGCAACCAGTCAGCCACTCTCTCACGCACACACACACTCAGTGCTTTTTGTGCAATTTTCCATTACGTTACGCATGTTGCTCACCTATTTGTTTTGTTTACAGCAAACAAACAACAACAACTAAAAAGTTTTTACTCTGTTTCTTTTGCCCCATTACATTGGGTGCTGTTCAATGTTTGTCTGTTAAACACCAAAGAGAGTTGGAATGGGGTGGAGGGGTGAGAACAACGCAGATAGTGGTTGTTTAATGTTTTCTAAGAACTCACAAATCAATTAGAGTGAGGAAACAAAAGTATAACCACAACTGTGAGAGTAAGAGAGTGTGAATCGTTGAGGAGAATCATAGCATTTCTTGTCTAGACACGAGACACGTGTGTGTGGTGCACTTTTTTTGTTTGGATTACTCGTTCGTTTGTCGTGTATTCGTTTGGGTGTTACATGTTGTTGTTGCTGTTATTCTTGCTGTTGTTGGACTATGCCCCAACATTATAAGGTGTGTGGTTGGATGGATAGATGCGTGCGTGCTTGCTTTAATTTTAAAGTGGTTGGTTAGCTGTTTGGCAATTTAAAATCATTGCATATGGTGGATGGAGTGTCTGTGGGTCACTGTATTCTTTTTTTAATGTTTTCCTTTTCCTCTCCTTCAGTTTCAACACAAGGCCACTCACTAGCTGGCAAACCAAATTTATGTATAGTATTTTGTTCAATTTTTTGTTTTCTGTTTTCCTCTTTATTTTGTCTTATTCTATTTGAACAATGTTTACTTTTATTTTGACATTTTCCTTTTGTTGGGTGTATGGTGTGATGCTAAACCAACAAAAGAGAGAAAGGAAAACTTGAAGAGATTTTTTTTCCAAAAAAGCTTTTGTCAGAATGTTTTCTCTTATACTGTAAAGCAGTGTTCTGTTCAAAAGGGTTGATACTTGAAAAAAAGTGTTTATTTAGATGTTGGCTTTGTGTTTTAATGGTACAACACCGGTAACCATGATTCCAAACCGATTTACAATTGAATTCAGGGATTGAGAATAAATATTGTGTCTATAGATATAATTGTTAGGAACAGAATTTGAATGTTTTTTATTAAACATTTAATTTTTTTCTTAGTTTTTGTTTTTTTGTTTTGATTGATTTATTCTATTGAAGTATTTTTTCTACATAAAAATTGAGCAGTGAATATTTTTTTTGATATAAATAAATTACAATTTATGAAATAAATATTCAAAATCTTGAAATAAATATTAACAAACTATATTTGTAAAATACTCTCTCTGAAAAACCCCCTGAGATTGATTTTTTTGTTTACATCAGAAACTGATGTTGATTTTTTCCTATAGAAAAAATTATTTTTTTCTAAAGAAAAAAATAATCTCAG